TCAGTGTTCTCCCCCTCTCTTCAAACACACTTGTTCCACATTCTTGCCACTTTCTGAAGCAGTTCTGTAAGGACTTTTTCAAGAAAGCATTTACAAGGCATGATCACAAATCCACTGGACGCTGCTCCTGGGTGCCATCCAATGAAAGACAGGCTCTTAAATATGATGGTCTGTCCTCATTTGCTCTGTCCACCAGATGTGGTACCACACAACATCTGGCTCTTCCCCAAAGTCAAAACTACTGTGAAAGGTAAATGTTTTTTTAATTTCTTCAGAAAAACGAGGCAATGGGGACAACTAAAGATACTTATGAAAAAGAACTTGATGAACTGCCTCAGAAAGCGGCAACAATGCAGTTGACATGTTTTCCAAGTGAGGGAGAGTATTTTAAGAGGAATTAATGTCAAGATGTGCTTCACTGTAGCACATTTTTAAAAGGATAGTGTTCATTATGTTATTTCAGTCACATCTTGTATAACTAAGTGCATTGTTAAAAGCCTCTCAGAGAAATTGAACTAATAGGGAATAACAGATTCACTCCAAGGAATTTGGTTATCCAAGAAGAATGTGAGTAACTCCCCAAACTTACAGGATAAGTCAGTAACCAGCAAAGCCGATGGTACAGATCCAAATATCTGAGTTCCAGGAAAGCCAATGGTGTCACTCTTGTGTGAATCCAACAGGCTAGAATCTCAGGAAAAGACAGTATCACAATTTAAAGGTAAGCAGTAAAAAAAGTCAATGTTCCAGGTCAAAAGATGCCCCCACCACCATAAAAAAGTTCTATCTCATTTTGGGGTATGTGAGCCATTTTATTCTTTGTTATTTTGTTTTGGTCTTCAATTGATCACATAATGCACATCTACATAAAAAAGCACAATCTGCTTCATTTAATCTACTAATTCAAGTAGTTGTACAGAAACAGTCTCCCAGAGACAGTCAGAGAAATGTATGGCCAACATAGCCAGTCAAGTTGATACATATTATTAACCATCACAAGATTTATAGAAAAAAATATTAAGAAATATTACATTGCTATAACATTAGTAAAAGGTTTTTCTGGAAAAACAAAAAGATGCCACAACAGATATGCATGGGGTGGGATTAAGAGGATTTGAAATTTGAAGGGGGTCATTCCTACGGACAATGAAGCTTGAACAACGGTGTAATTTGTGATCGGCAGGGCACCTCTGCTTTAAAGATGTTCATCCAGATGGAGTGCAGCATAGGATGTAGAAAGTGGCAGCATGCCCCCACCACAAATTGCCTCCTTCAACAATTTTCTAGCTTAAGGTTGACTATGAGAATATTGCAATCTTGATAAGACACAAAAATCACAAAATATTTTTAAAATGCACACAGCAGGATTTATTTCTAGATTAATAGAATACCTGATCATGTGGCCAGGATTAAGAAGGACATCCCCAGTTCCACCAAAATGAAGAAGAAGAAGGAGGAGGAGGAGGAGGAGGAGGAGGAGGAGGAAGAGGACAATCACTGCCTGGCACTGCTTCACATTTAGAGGGCAAGGGGAAGCATTTTTTGCAAATTAATTGAGAGAAGGTAATGTCCCAAAAACATTATTATGGGGTGGGAAGGAATAGAGTTTATTGGAGGGGTCAGAAGGTGTGCAAGCTGGTTCCCAGGGAACATTAGAGGCAGGAGCTGGAACATCCAAGGTCAGTGATAAAGTCCAAAGGCCATCCCTGTAGTGTAAATGTAAAACTCCAATTATTCGTAATTGTGAGAGCCATTGTAAAGCATGACAATGATGTGGGGTGATATAGGGTAAAAAGTACAGAAAAAAAGTAAAAAAGACACAAAGATAATTTCCTAAAGTAAAGATGCTATTAAACTTGCAGTATGGTTACATTTTGATAAACCTATGTACAGAGCCCACCAAGAAACACACACACACACACACACACACACACACACACACACACACACACTTCAGGAAGACAGAAACAGTATGGCATCTTTAAAAAAAATGGTGTTACCCTTGTACAGGGGATCCTAGAAGACACAGAAAATTCATCATGTTGTTAACCCTTAGATAAAAAATTGAACTGAGTGGAAAACTTTTTTAATTTAAATTTTTTGGTACCTAGAATGGAGCTCCTGTACCACGGAGCTCCATCCCTGTTCCCCTTAAGAGAAGAAACAGAAAGCGCATGTGCACAACCTCAATGGACCAAGGTTACCCAAGCATCACTAATTAATGTCTGGGAGCTAATGGCCACCACTTAGGGCACTTCTTATAATTGTTGTCTCAGTTACTGTTCTCTTGCTGCTAGGACCAAATACTCCACACTCCAACATAAGGAGGAAGAGGTTTGTTTAGCTCACAGTCTGGAGTTTTCAGTCTGTGATCAGATGGTTCCAAGAGAGGTTGGCCTGGCTGAGGGGCAAAAGTTCAAGGTGGCAGAAGGCAGCAAGAGCTAGCGAGGAGAGCAAGAGGGGCCAGTAAGCCTCTATTTACTCCCTTGTATGCTAAGCAGGTAATCCACCAAGTAGGTGTAGCACTCGCATTGTTTTCCTACTCTGCTCTTACAATCTCAGGATGTTTACAAAGTGGGGACCCTGGCCCCCTGCTGAGTCACTCAGTTAAACTAAGTTTCTCAGATTGACACAATGAACCAACTAGTACAGAATCCCAGATCACAAGCAGCTGCTCTAGGGCATGTCCTCCTCTACACCCTGGGATGCACAACTTCTGACTTAGTTAAGCTTCAAAACTTCTGAAGTTGACATGGCAGAAGCCACAGGTAAATCGCATTAATCTCATAATGTCTCAATAAATTTAATATTAAAATATTAAGTTTTTCTTTACCTGAAGTGTTGAATTTTTTTTTTGGCAGACTTTATGTTGTACTTTGAAAATATTGTGTCTTAAAAATGTATTGAAGGGGCTGGGGAGATGGCTCAGTATAATAAGCACTTGCCTGGCAAGCTCAAGGGCCTGACTTCAATCCCTGATTCTGCAAAAAAAAAATATGTCTTGAATAAATCCAACCCAAGGAACACCATCACTTAGCAAAAAAGTGCACTGTAGATTATCAATATTAGCAATTGAATGCTAAGCTGCTTCTGCCTGGTATCATGAGAGTGTATCTTAATGATCAAAATTCAAACTCTGAAGTAAGATTCTATTAAATGAAGCTGGTTTCACACTTTTGTAGAGTAAAAACTGATATATCAACTCATACAGGGAGTATGAGATAGGGAGATGACACAGGACCTCTAAGTAATCCAAATAATATGTGGAAAACAACTCCCAACCTATGAGATATCTGACATGCTGAGTTCCTGTTTTCTAAAATTGAAGAATGAATTCAGGAAGCATGGAGGTTAAGAGTAAGAAGTGCTTCCATCTAAGAGAGAGAAGGGGTCATGAGTGAGTGGACAGGGACCCTATGTCTCAAAGGAGTTTCATAGAGCAAAGCCAGGAGGTTGGGGGGCAGTAAGGTGAGACAAAACTATAATCAACCAATAAGATTACAAGTATGATCACTTAGGTAATATTGATCCAATGGGAAATCACAAGGTGAGTATGAAGTGGGACAGAACTATGGCCAATCAATAAGATTACAAGTATAATCTCTCAGATAACATTGATGAAACAGGGATCAAATGAGGAAGCAAGTCACGTAGCAAGTGTACTGAGAGGAACAAGGACATTTTCTGGAAAGGAGGGGCCTGGGAGGCTTTGGTACCCCACTCAAGGTGATTGATGCCTATTTGGAATAGCAATCACTGCTGGTCCTCCTTAGGGGAACTATGTGGTTGTAGTCATTTCTCTTTGTCCTGAGGCCTGACCTTCAGTGAATGTGCCTCCAGCCACAGTTGTCTTCTACATTCTGACTTGTTTGTGAGTCTAGCTCTGTCTGATTGCCTACAATATTTCTAAATAATTTAGCTAGCTATAGTCAAATCATTGTAAGTTGAGGAGTGTAATGGAGTGTATTTGAATTTTTGATAGTTTTCTACATCTCATTAGGATAAGGTCACTTGGTTTAAAGACTGAATGTTAGAAAACAAAAAATAGGAGTTGTCTGTGGGTAGCAATAAGCAAGCGTGCTATCTGGGCTGCTTCTCTTTGATTACTACTTCTCTCTTGGCTAAAACCTTCAGTGGCACCCAATGAATACTTCAAGTTAATTTCACCTGGAACTGAAGAATCTCCTCCAGGTCCCCATAACCTGCTATTCCAGTTTCATTGTCTGCTTCCACTTAAACGTATGTTAACATCTGGACATTCCAGATCCCTCTGTGCTTTATGAACTCATGTTTTGTCCTCCCACCTCTAGGCTCTTGATAACATTTTTTGTATCCTTGGTACCACTTCGCAGCACTGTACAAATGAAATGTAAGCCAGTATCCTTGAGAGAAACTATTACTGTGTACTTGTCATTCCAGAGTGTTTGACCGCACCAGCTAAGAATGCATTGGTTAAGCTGACTGCACAGCGAATGGGGACACGAGGGCCAGATGAGACACAACCCAATGGTCAGTAAGTGTGAATCATGACCAGGGATAGTGTGGCTTTGTTCAGCTGAATTGAAGTACCTTGAGCAGTCACCATTCAAGTAGCTTTGCTGGTGCTCAGAAAGCAATAACTCCCAGAGAAAGACTCCCCTGAAGCTGCCCTCTGTCTTTCCCCCTTCACTGTTCCCTCAGGCAAACCCTAGAAGCAGGAATTTCTCTGCTCCAAAGCAAGTCATAGGATCCAGAATCCCCCTTGCCTAAAACCTGACATAAAGCCAAAACATACTGCTCTCACTTTGCCTTGCCTTTTTCTGTCCTAGTTGGCCATCAGTTCTCTGATCTACCTTGTTTGGTTGTGATCACAACAGTCCCATTCCAAAAAGGATGCTCCATGGAGGACAGGGAGACCTGAACAGACAGGTCCTCCTGTGTCCCACACTCCACTTCATAGGATTAGTAGTAGATCCTGCACTTTCACAGAAGCCCTTGCTTTCTTTACTTAGATTGAGCCATACTAGTGAATGGGTTTCATTTTGGCAGACTTGTGCCCACACACAGCACACTTCAGTCAATTTCACCCTCTGATCACTTCCTTTGATCTCGATAGTCCCGAACTTCACATTTAGGGGAGAGAGTTCAATGAATCTATTTTACTTATGTCCAATCTCCATAACTCACCACTCACCCCTATAGCCTCTCCTTCCGCTTCCACCCTACCGTTCGTCTTACAATTGTCTCTCTTCAACTTTGTAGTCATTTCTTCTTGATTATACCTATTAAGGAGAAGGCAATACATTTGGCAGAGCTGGAATTCTTTCAGTCAACACAACGACCCCCATGTCCATTCACAATTCCGCCATTGACACAATTTTGTTCTCTCTTGTGGCTGGGTAGTACTGCACAGTATCCTCTTCTGTTTCCTCACTCATCTGTTGATCTGTACATCACGTTTCTAAGCTGATGTTCACGCTTCATTGCCCTGAAGATAAAAACGGACTGTTTTCCCTGGTCTTTTAGGGTGGAGTCTAAGGAATTCCATATAATATAAAATCATGATGAAATATATTTATATTTTTTCTTTTGTTAATCTTGCCATT